CTTATTTATGGTAATAATATGTATACTAAGCCTGAAGGTGGCGCTTTCCTACGGCAGCCATCTTGGATGGTACACATACACAACTCTGCATTGCTCCGCCATCTTGTCAGCACTCTAGTTGTTTAATAGCTCTATGAATGTACACGATTTTAATTTTCATTCCTTGGTACTTTATTTTTAAATAAGGTGCTCCATTTGGCCTCGTTTTGGCTACGATAATTCAATAATTTGTTATTACCATTACTCATTATCATTAATGAAATAATAGTCATTCAAGGGTCTTATTTATGGTAATAATATGTATACTAAGCCTGAAGGTGGCGCTTTACTACGACGGCCATCTTGGATGGTACACATACATAACTCTGCATTGCTTCGCCATCTTGTCAGCACTCTAGTTGTTTAATAGCTCTATGGCCAAACCATGGTCTTTGGTCTATAGAGGGAGGCTAATAAGAAGGAGGACAGCTAATGTTAAAAGATAGGAATTCAACCGGGGCCACAGGGAGTGGTCTTAAATTTGAGGTGGTCGTTAATTGGGAGGAGACCTGTAATAAATATTTTCCTACTACTAAAGATTATAAAAAACTCCGTATAAAGATTAGGAGTATGTAACGTTTGTTCTATGTTGTCTTATTAAACAAAGTGCATCCGTTCATAGATTATTCATTTACAATACTACAAAGAACTTATAAACACAAGATAGCGTTCTCCGCGATTTACGCGTAACAAATAGAAGCGTCGGTCAAGGTTCAAAAGTTTCCAATTTAGCAAGAGGGCGCCATTCATGCGCTATTATACCATGGAGGTATAATTCCTCCATGATTATATCAAAGAGGAAAAGTAATCAGTTTTGGAAGAGGGCGTCCTATCTGTCGCCATGGATTTGAGATGGTTCCTGTTCTGCTGTTCACAGGATTGATACCCTAAAGGTAAAGTCGCGCGGTGTGCGGTATGCGCGCGTGCGGTATGGTCAGAGCGGTCAAGGGTCAAAAGTTTCCAAATTAGCAAGAGGGCGCCATTCATGCCTTATTACAGAATTTGCGCGCGTAAATCGCGGAGAACGCTATCTTGTGTTTATAAGATCTTTGCAATACATGGCAATACTATAACCAAAACCAAAGATCTTATAAACACAAGATAGCGTTCTCCGCGATTTACGCGTAACAAATAGAAGCGTCGGTCAAGGTTCAAAAGTTTCCCAT